AACTGTACTTTGTTCACAAAAATACATGGACAGAAGGACAGACAGACAGACGGACGGACCGACATGTATAAATCGACTCAGAATGTGATTCTATGCAGATCATCAAAAGGAACTATGGGTCTATCTCGTTTTCTTTTGTGTGTTACAAACAAATGTACAAAGACACAATACCCTGACCACCTTGTGGTGTAGGGTATAAAAGCCGACTATATGATACCATACACCACTTTGAATATTTAGTAGAGCTCCCGTAAGAAAAGAATTTGTTTGAAGTAGATCAAAGCACCTAAGAACCTATGGCTGTAGTGCAGTTACAATATTGTTTCAGAGGGAACTAATATATCCAATTTTTAATCGATTTTCACTAAATTTGATGTACTTGCTTCCAGATTGAATTTGGTCGGATGTGGCAAAATTCAGGTCATTTGGAGTGATATTGGCCATTTGGTCCACAACTAACTCGAAATCTGTTGAAGATCCATATGAGAGCTTTATCCAAATCTGAACAGATATCGATAAAATTTGGCAGATGTATTTCTGGGCTGTATCTGATATCTAGTGCCAAATATAATTCTAGTAGAGTGCCTATTACGAATGTGAGGGACTTAAAGACCAAATCGGATAAATCATATATATGGGAGCTATATCTGAACCGATTTTTAACAAATTTGGCGCACTTGCTTCTAGACAGAATTCGGTCGGATGTGCCAAAATACAGATCATTTGCACTGATATTGGCCGTTTTGGTGCACAATTAACCCGAATCGGTTGAAGATATATTTGGGAGCTGTATCTAAATTTGAACCGATTCTCACAAATGTCAATAGAATTTGTCCTTGGGCCAAACAAATATTGTTTGGAAAATTTCATCGGATAATAAATGCGACTTGCATTTTGTTCACAAGAATACATGGACAGACGGACGGACGGACGGACAGACGGACTGGCATGCATAAATCGACTCAATAAGTGATGCTATGAAGATTCTCAAAAGCAACTATGGGTCTATCTCGCTTCCTTCTCCATGTTACAAACAAAATGGGTTCTAGATCCGGTGGCGGAACATTATATGTATAGGTCCACGTATAGCCCCCCATATAACGGTACCTCCCGATATTTTTTTTGTGGTATTTTCATGATTTTTACCACATTTTTCCACGGATTTGTCTACAAATTTGTATTTGTAGTTCTTAACGGGGTTTCGCTGCATTGGCAGAACATTAAATATCTAGGTTCATGTTTTCCTATAGCCGCCATATAAATGTACCCACTGATATTAGGTATTAGGTATTTTGATAATCCTTGTCACATTTACCCACGAAATTTTTTTTAAATTTGGTATTTGAGACTCGAAATAGATAACAATCCTTGCTGTATGAAGATGTATAAATGGGTACCCTTTTCGTCATTAAGATACTTCTAAATAAAAATTATATATACTTCTACATAAAAATGATTCGGCCAGACCTAAAATTGTTCAAATTTGATCATTTTAGGCTGGCTGAAACATCTCGTATACTTCCCCCCGTTAATATGTAAATATTTATAACACTTTTTCTGTATGTTTTGAACTACTGTGAGGAGGGTAGCATAAAGAATGAACAGATATTTAACATTTTCACACTTTCTGTAACATACGCCTAAATAGGATACTCAATTCGTTATCGGAAAGAATTATAGGTAAATGTTTGCCTTTTACACCAAAAGGTCTTCGGAAGATTTGATTTTGAAGTTTACGTAGGGGGATTTTAGTAAAACCACTGCACTATGGACCCACATCCAATATTTGTGTCCAAAACTATTTCAACGTCTTGATATTTTACATCTCCCTAGAAACCAACGGTGACCTCAATATAAAATTTCAGTTATATCCTTGTACCCAATGCCAAATTAATTTATCAAGTACACATATCCAAAACAATCTATGTCTCTTCATCCTAGACACCAAGATAAATCCATAATTAGTACCTTTTAGTAGGATTTCAACTCTATCCCTTCACCCCATTAAATACCACTTAGTACTCTACGTACAATTATAGTACACATTTCCAGAATCACCTCCATATTTAAAGGGCACACATGAACTGTGACCCTTATATAAAAATCTCAGAATTCAAGCACTATCTGTTTACACAATTCGAAGTTGTACAAAATATAGTACTAGTAGAACTACTTCATCCGTTCACCATAAACCAAACACTTTAAAAATCTAGTACCATTTTAGTTACCAGTTCGCACAATTAGTACACATTTCCAAAATCTCCTTAATATATCAAACTCATTTTCCAACCTTGATTTTCATGGCGAATTTAAAGTTTTTCGGTCTATTCGTTCACATAATACCAAATGATAGAAATATTGAGATGTGCCAAGTCTGAATGGAACCGGTTGTTAATTTCGCGTTGTATGAGCTTCATGGCTACTCAAAAATTTGAGGATCAAAATGTCTAATAGCCATGAAGCTCATAAAATGCGAAATTAATATCCGATTCCATTCCGTCTTTGCACATCTCAATATTTCTATCAACTCAAGATCTGTTGTGAAGATGGTAGAGATCGGGTCAACATAGGGTCAACGTTTTAAATAACCAAAACAATTATAAAATCCGAAATAATCGTTCGGTTCTCTTCATATTTAACACATCCGATGATTTCTATTAACACAGCATCTGCTGTAAAGATGAGAATATACCGGTTCACTCCTTTTGATACCTCCCCCACAAAGGGTAAACATTTTGAATAATTATAACTCTTATAAAATGTGATGTAAGAGACGATTGTGGAATATGTCGGTCCACTCCTTCTGGTACCTCGCTGAAGTAGGATAATGGAATACTTCGGTCGATTATATCTGACATTTTCTAAAAATTATCACATATCTCATATAAAGTGAAGGAAGTAATCAATATAGTCCAAACGTGGGAGAAGTGATTTGTTTACATGACCCTATAAGCAGTTATTCGGCTCATTACTGGGTACAAATTATTATTCATATAAATAAATAAATTAAACAAGTAAGCAAAGGCTGTAGTCGTGCGGGGCCGACAACACTACAATATGTTAGAAGCCCCCTTATGTCCAAACCCATTTTGAAAGATTTTGCTTTGAAATTATGTCACCAGGGACATTAGCCCGTCGTGCTTTTAGTTGTGTGGTCCATTTTACAGCTAAATATAATCCAATGGCCATCCAAAAGGTCTTTATTTCGCTTCTCAGACGTGCCGATTGGCTTTAATTCTGTAATCAGGAATTTTATCTGCTTTTGGTTCATTTCACCCCGAAATATTTTGCGAAAGTAAGAGGCCGCTCTGTATCTCCAAATTTAGACTAAACCATATGATATGCTTATCTACGATATTTGGCCATATTCGTCAACGAAATCAGCAAAAAAAGCTAGAAGTTCGCCTTTTGTGTATTTCGGATATTGCCTCTAAGTAATGTCGGCAATTTTCCACACAAAAGTAGTGGTTCATTCTACCCGCTGTCCTAAACTCTAACTTCTTGCGAGATTTCGTGTCCTTTGGTTTCTATTTGTGACCTTTATAATGGCTATTAAATCAGGAACGTTTGTTTGTTGGTCCATTTCAACCCCTAAATATAGTGCGGACATCTTTGAAAACAATAGACCTAGCCCTTCTGAGCCTAACCCCTTCGTGAGGATCGCTCGATATTTGCAAACTGTATATAATAACTCAAACCTGTGTTGTCAAAATGAAAAAATCGCATGCGATAAAAAATATGAAAAAAAAATTAAAATATGTCACAAAATTATACAAAATCTTTATTAACATCATTATTGGCATATTTTTATGCGTTTTTTTTTAGATTTTATACTGTTATGTCAAAAAGGCATTCTAAATTGACAAAATTTGTAAAAATCTGTACAGCCATTCTTGAGATATAAGCATTTTAGCTAACATCCCCTTCCTTTGTATATATACATTGTATATATTTCGCTATATATATCCGATATATTTACTATCGGCATCTACGTAACGGTCAGAATTGACCTGTTTCTCTATTTGTGATTTCGTCGGGATTAAAAATATTCGCGGTTTAATGGAAATTTTGAGTTTTATTTAACACAAATGTTATGGTCTATTTCACCCACTAAATATTAACCGATGACCATCAAAATTGGAGGGCTTCTACCCACCCTTAAGATGAAGCCCCATGCTAAGTTCCACGTCGATTGGTCTACAATTGCGTCCTGTAGAGCAACTGCAAAATATGGAAAATTTTTGGTCCATTTCAACCCCTTAATATTATGCGATCATCTCAAAAAGCAATAGGGTTCTATTCTGGCTCAAGCCCCACCTCCATTCTAAATTTCGTGAAGATCGGGCCATAATTGTGACCTTTAGAGTGATTACAAATTAACATGGACAGACGGACTGACGGACGGACGGACATACATAGCTAGATCGACTCAGCTCGGCGAGCTAGGAAGATCCATATACACTTTCCTATGTGGGAAACCAATATTTCGTGGTGTTACATAATTTTTGGCCCAATCAAACTTATAATACCCCCAACACATAGTGTTGTAGGGTATAAAAATTTAATACATCTTTGGACAGGTACATTAAATATTAAATATAACAAAATATTTTCTTATGGATTGATCTGCCCACCACAATAACAATCACCATATAATATAATCAGTAATTGTCATACACATGTTCATTACATTCCGAAACATTGCATTGCTTCCGTCACCTTTCACCCATTTTAATTCCACAATTTATGGAATTGATTTAATTCAATTTAAATATTTATTCACCTTTTGTAATTAGGGGAAACATTTATTGGCCAATTAAATACCATTTGTGAAACCTTTAGCGTATTAATTATATTTCTCCTATTTGACCTCCCTTGGCCATTGAGTGTATTTGAAGGCAATAAGAGAATATTTGCAGTACTTATAATTAAATTCATTATAGCAAATTTACCCGATTATTCACAAATTTACATTTCATTTCATTTGCTTTGCTTTACAGAAATGTGCCGACTCGACAGTGTCCAGCAAGGATACATTTCATACATTTGCCAGGACCTTGGCACCGGCTTCAAAGGTAAGCAAACACAAAGCCTCACTCACACATATACACTCAATGATTGTTATTTGCAATAATGGGGAGTTTCGATAGTTCACATTTATTTGCCTTATGTGGAAGTTGTAATTGTGTTGGTGTTAATTCCTTAATATTGTTTGAGTTTGGGAAGAAATATTGCACATACATAAATTAACCAGTAAAGAAAGCTCAAAAGTCGGGCGGACCGAATATTTGATACCCTGCAGCACTATGCATATTTCACAGATGAAATGAAAATGAACATTTATATCGGGAACTTGTGTGAAATAAATCAAACCAGCCATGATTGTTATTAATTGCGTATTGCGTCTTAAATTTGAATTAGGATGGACGCAATATATAAAGGGTTATTTTTTATACCCTCCACCATACTATGGAGGGTATATTAATTTTGTCATTCCGTTTGTAACTCCTCGAAATACTCATGTCAGACCCAACAAAGTATTTATATTCTTGATCAGCGTAAAATTCTAAGATGATTTAGCCATGTCCGTCTGTCTGTCTGTTGTAATCACGCTCTATCTTTCGAACAAATTGAGATAGAAGGCTAAAATTTTGCACACATGTATATTTTGCCAGTAGGCAGGTTAAGTTCGTAAACGGGCCATGTAGGTCCAAGTTATCATATAGCCCCATATAACGGTACCTCCCGATATTCGGTATTGTGATAATTTTAGCGACATTATTAGCCGGAATTGTTTCAAATTTGGCATTTGAAGTTCGTAATGGATACTACAGCCTAAGACAGAAAATTATCTGTGCAGGTTCACGTCTTCGTGTAGCCCCCATATAACGGTACCCCCCGATATTCGGTATTTTGATGATTTTAGCGACATTGTTTACCGGAATCGTTTCAAATTTGGTATTTGAAGTTCGCAATGGATACTACATCCTAAGCCAAAAAATGAGAAATGTAGGTCCACGTCTTCATATAGCCCCCATATAACGGTACCCCCCGATATTCGGTATTTTGATGATTTTAGCGACATTATTTATCGGGATTGTTTCAAATTTCGCATGTGAAGTTCGTAATGGATACTTCAGCCCATGCCAGAAAAATGTCTGTGCAGGTCCACGTCTTCGTATAGCCTCCATATAACATTACCTCCCAATATTCGGTATTTTGATGATTTTAGCTACATTATAAACAGATTTTTCTTCAAGTTTCGCATTTAAATAGTGTAATAACTTATGACAAAAGTTGTCTATGCAGGCCCACGTCGTCATATAAGCATTCAATATTTTTAAGATTTTAACAGAATTTTTAAAGGATTTTATTTTTTGGAAATTGCCAAATTTGTACCAAATGGTGGAGGGTATTAAAGGTTCGGCCCGGCCGAACTTACAGCTTTTTTACTTGTTAGCTATTATCTTTTCGTGTTTTGTTTCACTGTTGAACATCTTCAGTGTGGTCTATAATTAACCATAAATCCCCTTTCACATGAACAACATTTGCATGTTATTGAATTTTGTTATCAAAAATCTTCTTCCAATTTATAGATAGCTCGTTTTTGGCTCAATGGGTAAGTTAATATGCAGAATTTTCGATTTTGGAGTGAAGATCAACCAAAATCTTTGCAAAAGCTATCAATGCATTCAGAAAAAGTCTCAGTTTGGTATGGTTTATAGACTGTTGGCATTATTGGACATTGGTACTCCTTCAAAGATGCTGTGAATCGTAACGCAACTGTGATTGATGAGCGCTACCGTGAGATGTTATCCAAACATTTTTTGCCCATAATGTAAGAGCATGACATGCATTACATGTGGTTTCAACAAATCGGTGCCAAATATCTGAGGGGCTATGTTAAAGCTTATGTCTACGCAGGCAAGCCCGCTTTAATTGACGAATTAGAAGACACCATTGATGCAGTTATACGTGAGATACAGGCCGTGACATTGGGGAATGTATGCCAAAAATTGAACTAAGCGGATGGAACATTTTAGACGCAGTTGTGGTCAACATTTGCATGAAATAATCTTTAAACATTAAATTATATGAACCGTACAATTCAAGTTCAATTTTTTTGAATTTTAATACCCTACAACGCTATTTGTTTGGGGGTATTATATGTTAGATTGGGCTAAAAATTATGTAAGACCTCGAAATATTGGTCGCCGACATGGGAAACTGCATATGGATCTTCTTATATCGCGGAGCTGAGTCGATCTGGCTACATATGTCCGTACGTCCGTCTGTTCATGTTAATTTGTAATCACGCTACAGGTCACAATTATGGCCCGATCCTCATGAATTTTGAAAATGGAGATGGGGCTAAGGCCAGAATAAAGCCCATGGTTTGTGGAGATGATCGCAAAATATTTAGAGATTAAAATGGACCAAAAATAGAAAAATTTATTGATTTTGCAATTGCTCTACAGGCCACAGTTATAGACTAATCAACTCGGAATTTTTCATGATCTTATAGACTAATCAACTCGGAATTTTTCATGAGCTTAAAGTTTGGGGCTGGACCGAAGCCTACCAATTTGGATGGCCATCGGAAAATATTTGGCGGAACTTTTAATGTCCTCCACCAATTTTAAGGATCAAAAAATCTGTCGAAAAGTACTACTTAAATTAAAACCATTATATGGGGAAAATACGAAAACGTGGATCTTCTAAGTAATTTTTGTCATAGGCTATAGATTCGATTCCGAACTTCAAATACGAAAATTGAAACAATTCCGTTGAATAATTTCGCTAATATCATTCAATTTCAAACAATTCCGGCGAATAATGTTGCTTAAATCATAAAAATATTTCAGGGGATGAAGTATTCAGAAGAAACTCCTGGTGTGGATTCTCAGACAATTCCATTGAAAAATTTGGCTACAATCATCAAAATACCGAATATTGGGAGGTACCGTTATATGGGGGATATACGATATCTTGGACCTATACAGACAATTATATTTCAGGGGATGAAGTACTCAGAAGCAACTCCTGGTGTGGATTCTCAGACTATTCCATTGAAAAATTTGGCTACAATCATCAAAATACCGAATATTGTTGGGAGGTACCGATATATGGCTGATATACGATATCGTGGACCTATGTAGACAATTATTTTCCAGTGGGTTGAAGTACCCAGAAGCAACTCCTGGTGTGAATTCTCAGACAATTCCATTGAAAATTTGGCTAAAATCATCAAAATACCGAATATTGTTATATGGGTGATAAACGATATCGTGGACCTATATAGACAATTCTCTTCCAGGTGGCAAAGTTCTCAGAAAGAACTTCTTGTAAGGATTTTCAGACAATTCCATTGAAAACTTTTCTAAAATCATTAAAATACCGAATAAAGGGAGGTATATGGAGGATATTCGATATCGTTTACCTCTTTGAGCCTTGTGTACAATTTTAGACAATTTCATTGAAAAATAAGACTAAATATATATATATATATATATATATATATATATATATATATATATATATATATATATATATATATATATATATATATATATATATATATATATATTGGTTGCGGGAGTCAAAAATCGATGTTCTGTCATGGCCGGCACAAGTACCTGACCTAAACTCCATAGAAAACCTTTGGAGTATTGTTGACAGGAAGATCAAGCGAGATTCGGAGACAAAAAAGCACAACATTTTCCAAAAAATTCGGGGTGCCTGGGAAAGAAAAAATATATTCAACGCCTCGTAAGTGTGCAGCTGCTATCAAAAATAATGGATGATATCGACTACTAGCCAAAATTTAATTATTTAAAAAATGAAAAAGTTGCTTTAGTTTTGACCAAGCAAAAATTAGGCCATTTTAATTTTCCATATATTACTTTTCGTAAAAAATTATTTTTGTATTTTTATTTTTAGTTTCTTAAAAGTGAATTAAAGACCTCATTTAAAACTGGAAAAATAATTACGTTTTGTTTATTTTTGTAAAAGTTACAGGACATTTTTTGTTTTCGCGATTTTAGTTGCTTTAGTTTTAGCCACCAGTGTATATATATACTTTGTTAAGTCTATTTCTTCGAGTTACAAACGGAATGACGAACTTCATATTCTCTCCATACTTTGTATCTCCACCATACATATAAAAATTAAATTTAGCATTAAAGAAACTGATAGTGTTTGAAATTTGAAAGTAATTTTGGAAATACGTACAGTTAATGGTGTTAAATTTGGTGGTTAGGGAATGGATAGAGCTGGAGATCTCAAAAATTTTTATTTATTTTGGCATTAGAGTCACTACGAAAAAGTGTAAAGATTTTTAGGTATATTTGGGAAAGCACACTATAACGTGTGCGGTAATTACACGAAAAAAATTCCAAATTTGATATAGATATCTAGAATTGTGAATATTGGTATGCAACGTGTGGGCACGTAACGCTTAGATAGGGGTTTAATTAGGAAATCGATTCAATATACTAAATGATAATAAACTCTTTAAACATTTAACAATATAGCAAAACTTATAAATTTTTCTATGACGATAAGTAAGAGTTAGACAATAGACAGCTTCTGGAAGTGCATGCTATATAGGTTCGCAAAAATACTTAATTCGTTAGAAACTACTAAATTCTATTTGGGATAAAATTTCACACATAAATTCACTCAATATAAATTTCTTTTTCGCCTACGAAGCAGAGGCCATGTTCTAGTCAGATCATGGAATACTATAACAAAATCATCCCCATTTGCAATAATCATAATCCCCACGCACTCAAGTTATACATGTTTTTCAGTTGTGGTAATAAGGCATAGGCATTGGATAGACTACACCACCATTTTGGCGTTCCTTGCTTTATTTGCTTGGCGAAATCCTGTGTTCACTGTAGCATTTGTAATTCTCCTCTACAGCACAATTGTTTTCCATGCCAACGTTTTCTAAAGCATTTTCTTTAGCCAAGGTATTAACATTATTAAATGCGAAGACTTTGGTACATTGTTTATGTCTGATAAATCATTTAATCCTCAGTACTTCATGAAAGGCTGTATTCTTTTCTAG